TACCTTTCAAGGTGATGATGGGACCTGCAGAATACCAAGATATGGCTGTCCAACCAATATTGTGCCACCATCATGCTTTACCGTTGGCACAGGACAGTCCTGGTCGGAAGCTTGGGACAGTGTTTGCCACACGTAAACATGTCTGCTGGTTGGGAACAGTGTGAGGCTCTATTTATTGTACCATATTACAGTCTTCCATTGATCGATAGTCCACAATGTATGGGTATTGCACCACTCTCTCCTCTTCTGAGCTTAAATATCGATCGCTAGGTATTTGGCAATTGCAGCTCGCCTGTGAATGTTTTGCTTATGGAGTTTCCTCCACCCAGTTTTGTGGACACAGACTTTGGAAGACTGAGATTGAGCTTTGCAGTCCTTTTTGCAGCAGTCGTTTTCTTATTCTGGGTCAAAATCCAGGGCAATGTCCTCTTGGCTCTTTAGGTCAGTTGACCATGCTTATCACACAATGTTTTTTTCTGGAAACTGTATGCTGACATAATTTTTAATACTGTACCTTGCAACATGGCAAATACATTTGCAACTTCCATCACAGAGGCACCAGCTAAGCAGGCACCCACAATTTTCCCTCTTTGAAATTCAGTAATCTCGTACTCTGGACTCTATATTACTTGCAGCGCATGCAGTGAATGACGAAAGCTAGGCTTCCCACCTGTTAACTAGGTGTCTCATAACACAGCGGAAGCAAAATATTGTTACATCACTTCCACTTTCCACACAAAACATGTCGCCACTTTCACACCTGCAACTCATGTAGTGTTTCCATATTTTTTGTACCCCTGTAGGTTCTAACTTTTCCTACTCTATTCCAAACTAGAAAAATATTTTGGCTGGAGTTTCCCTTTAAACATGACCAAACAGGCAGGAGTGTTTATTGTATTGCCTTTAATTCTCAGTAGAAATTTGCTGAGCAAAATGGTGTCGGCAGGGCCACCCATAGCTCAAATTTTAGCTGATTCACTGTAATTCTTCAAAATTTGAATCATGTATGGTTACCACTGCCTGATGGATTTGGGAACTTTGTGGGGGAAAACATTGCAATCTTAAAGATTTATGCTTTGGTTAAACTACACCTTTAATTGAGTGGTATTAAATGATAAATTAACTTTTAGTAACATGTTACACCTGTATATAGGGTGTAACATGTACCATGTTGCTATGCAGCACCCCCTCACCCACCCCCCAGTGTCACATTTTAAAATTGGGCAAAGTCACATCATTCATTCAAACGGATCTCAATGAGCTATAAGTCCCATCTTCAACTGCGGAAGACTGGCTTGTAGTTTCAATGGACTGTGAGAATGGTGATCAGTGTGCTTAGTCCATTCACTTTTCCTGTAGCTCTGAAACTGACAGCTTGTAGAGATGTATGGCCACAGGGCTGTAGGAAGAGTCTGCAGGAGCCTGACATTACAAAACAAAATCCAAACCGATGTCCAAATAAACTAATATACAAAAACCAATCTTGACACTTAAAAAGTCACACTTTCATACTTGAAAGTCCAAAATAAATAATAAAACCCTCTTAATGTCAGTGAATCTTCCCAATTCTTTTTCTTCAATGTAATAATCCAAAAAATATGGTCAATTTCCACCGTATACCTCCCAAAAAAAATTAAAAGACTAGATAGTGTATTATCCTCAATAATCCAATAATCAAAAACACATATTTATAAATTGCCAATATGTGAAAAAGTGTGAAAACACATGACAAAGTGAAACTCTCAAAGTGAGCACTTCTATGTGGCTAGAGTAAATACTCTTACCCTACATAAATAATCAAAAGCTTTTAGGATAATAATCCAATATGCCAAAAATTTCTCCAAGATTATCCCACAATCACTATGCAAGATACCGGACTATCCCATGTTCTCAAGCATGATGAAACACTTCTCAGGGTCGTCCATAGATTACCACTCAGAAGGAAAGAAAGGACTATATAGTGTAGTATTCAGGTTAAATAGATTGAGGCTTTAATAAATATGCTTAGATCAGAATGAAAATAAAATCGCATGTATTCCCATATGACAGCTTCCAAGAATGCTCGTATCAATATCACCTTAGTTAAGATGGCCGCTCCGCTACTTCCAGTCAATGTGTAACGTCCGACGTCATGTCCCTTGACGCGTTTCGTCACTTCCTAGCTTCCTCATAAGGAACTAATCTAAATGCAGCACATTGTTTCCAATGTGCCTGTACACAAGTGCACATAAACGTGCTGCATATTGATCAGCAAAAAAATAATACAGAAATCTGAGTTGCAGATCAGTATTTTTGTGTGTATACTCACAAATGCCACGCTTCCTGCTTGTGTGTGCATACTCACAAACACGTGCAAGTGACATACAGCCTATCCCGGTGTTTTTTCTGCCAGGAATCTCTAATACTTATACATCAGTACAGTGTGCAAGAGGCCTTAAAGGGAAGAGGAAAAAAATGTATTTGATCAATAATACTATTTATTAAAACAAGTAAATATTTTTGAATTACGTTGTACATCAGGGTCGTCTAACCTTTTGACTTTCCTGGACCATATTGGAAGAAGAGGAACTGTCGGGCTGCACATAAAATACACTAATAAGGATAGCTGATGAGCAGAAATTGTTGGTCAGATCACAAGTTAATGATCACTGATATTGATAATGTACCTATTGAACAATAAAGCTTAATTTTTTTTTTATATTTTTTATTATAAAAGTAAAACAGGGCAACATAAAATGAGTGTGATATTTGACACTGTTTTTGATAAACTAATGCATCAATATCTGGCTGGATAGATGTATTAGAAATTCTTACGGTGCTCATCAAATATTTTGGTTCTCATTTTGCCCTTCATGTGCTTCATCCTTGATAATAGTTGCTCACAAATATAGGTGCTGCCAAAAACTGATGACATGAATAAGGCGTGATTGTGAAGAGTGGAATATTTTTCTTTAGGAAGAAAAAGTCCAGTAAAGAGACACTTGTCAAATTTTTCTTTGGTTGCATGTGTTCACTATGTGTAAATGCATTTTACAAAACATTTAACCGCATTGGGATTTTTTTTTAGCAAAGACATGTCGCAGAATGCATTTTGGTAGAAATTTATGACTAAATTTGATTTTTGCATTTTTTTTTACTGGACATGTTTTATAGCAAAAAGTCCAAAATATTGTTTTTTTTTCCTCAAAATTGTCAGCCTTTTTTTTTTATAGCGCAAAAAATAAAAACCGCACAGGCGATCAAATACCACCAAAAGAAAGCTCAATTTGTGGGAAAAAAAAGATGTAAATTTCATTTATGTACCATATTGCATGACCACGCAATTGTCCGTTAAACTAGCGCAGCGCTGTATAGCAGAAAAATGGCGTAAATTGCAGTATTTATACCATAGTTTGTAGACGCTATAACTTCCACAAAAGCAATCAATATACACTTATTGGGATTTTTTTTACCAAAAACATGTAGCAGAATACATTTTGGCCTAAATTTATAACCAACTTTGAGTTTACTATATACTTTTTATAGCTGAAAATAAAAAATATTGTTTTTCTTCAAATTTTTGGCATTTTTTTGTTTTTAGCGTGAAAAATAAAAAGCGCACAGGTGATCAAATTACACCAAAAGAAAGCTCTATTTGTGTGAAAAAAAGGACGTAAATTTTGTTTGGGTGCAGCATTGCATGACCGCTCTTTTCTCAGTTGAATTAGTGCAGCGCCAAGTAGCAAAAAGAGGCCTGGTCATTAAGGGGGGTAATTCCTCAGGAGCTCAAGTGGTTAAAGAAAAGTCTACATTTTTTAGTAAGTTTATGATTTTGTGTTGGGCCGCATTCATAGCCATCTTGGGCTACAAGTTGGACACCCCAGCTGCGCATCATTACATAGAAAAGGACAAAATGGTATGGGGAGTATGGCAGTAGTATACTGTATTTTATTTAAACACTTATAATATATACTTAAATATTTTATCGTACCCATATTGAGCATCTGGGCTCTTTGATAGGAACTAAAGCAAAGAAGGATGTTTGTGATTTGCGTATCAACAAATGAGAACCTTTCTGTCATTACTTACCTGCACTTGTATGTAAATATTAGAAATTCTAACAATAAACCACAATGTCGATCCACCCAAACCAAACCCAAATCCACCTTAGATACACAGTTTTCATCATAGTCAATCAGCCAATCCCTTTACTTTACATATATGTAACAAATAAAATAGACAAAAAAAACTCAGGCTCCTTCATTTGTATGCACATGTAGCATTGCATGTTTTTAATGCGTGTTGCGTTTTTGATGGTGAACACACATAATAACACATGATACTAACTCATGTTGATGCCGATTAAAAAGAACTGTGTTTCTTTGGTGAAGATGCAGTTAAAGGGAATGATACATACATTATTTCATATTAACATTACTCCTATAGATCCGATTAGGCAAGTTATTACCATAAAAAGCTGCAAGTCTCATTTTTGAAAATTCTCTGTTTTTCCCAATATAAATGTAAACTTCAGACATAGAAATAATCAGGATTTTTACTTGTATTTGACATTTAACCACTTGCCCTCCAGAGGATTTACCCTCCTTCCTGACCAGGACATTTTTTGCGTTATGGCGTTGCATTACTTTAACTGACAATTGTACGGTCATGCAATACTGTACCCAAATGAAATTTGCGTCCTCTTTTCCCCCACAAACAGCGGCATTTAATCACCTGTGCATCTTTATTTTTTGCGCTATAAACAAAAAAAGGCTGACAATTTTGAGAAAAAAAATATATTTTTGACTTTTTGCTGTTGCACATGTCCAGTAAAAAAAAATGTAAAAAATCTGATTTCGGCATAAATTTAGGCCAAAGTGCATTCTGCTACATGTCTTTGCTAAAAGAAATTCCAATACGTGTAAATTAATTGGTTTATGTGAAATTTATAGCATTTACAAATAGCGGTATATATACTGGGATTTTTTTTTTTCTTCAATTTTTACTAGTAATGGCAGTGATCAACGGCTTATAGCGGGACTGCGGCGGGCATTCTGACACTGGGCGGAACTGACTTGGTGTCACTGACATCCCCAGTGACACCAATACAGTGATCAGTGCTAATAAAAAGCACTGACACTGTACTTATGGCACTGGGCAGGAAGGGGTTAGCATGTGGGGCGATCAAATGGTTAACCGCGTGCTGTGTGTGTTTTATTGTGAGTCTGCGTGTTTGTGTTTCACAGTAAGAACCCTGCTCTGCATGGCTGTTCTATGCACAGCCATGCAAAGCAGTGTGCAGGAGCTGACAGGGGTGAGAACTGTTTTGTTTGCAAACAGTTCTCACCCCCCGTTGGAGATGCTCAGCAATCACCAAGCATTGGTGAGTAATCACCAGCCGGGACACGGTGATTGACAGTTGAGGCACCCATGCCGCCCTGTAGCAGTACTTCTGCTGCATGCATATTATTTCATGCAGTAGCATGTGTCAACAGGCCTCAACTCTTTCGCTTCCATAGCCAATTTATGCATTTATTGCACAAATGTTTAAAAAAATATTTTTAGGCCTGGAGATTACTTGAAAACATTTTATGCGATCTAAAACCAGACATCTTAGAGAAAATAATGGTTGTAGTGCTAAAGTTAACCATTTGCCCCCACCCTACAGCAAATATACTGCTACAGGGTGGAAAGGCTGCATAAAGTCACATATATATACGTGATTTGCATGTCCGGGTAGGGGGCGCACGGCTACAGATATCAATCACCAGGTCCTGGCCGGAGATTCTCCGCCGACACTCGGCGATCGCAGAGTAACACTGACAGGGGAGAGACCTGTGTGTAAACAACACAGGTCTCTCTCCTGCCAGCAAGAATATGCTGCTGTGTATTTATTTGCACAGCACAGAAATACACAGCAGCATGTTTTCCTAATAAAACACACCCAGCACATTATGTAAAACAACACACGGTTAACCCTTTGATCGCCCCAGATGTTAACCCCTTCCTGCCCAGTGTCATTAGTACAGTGTTAGGGCTTTTTATTAGCACTGATCACTGTATTAGTGTCATTGGGATGTCAGTGGCAGTTAGTCAGTTAGCTCAAATTAGATACCAGTACAAGGGTTGTCCTTTATGACATCTTCAAGCAGCTAAAATCCATGCAGTTAAAAAAGCTAGCTTTTTTAACAGTATCAGTAATGTTTGGAAACTCCTGGGACTTTTTTGCAAGTTAGGAGCTATGAGATCTTATAAAGTATCCTATGTATGAAAGCCGACTATAGATGGATAGAATCTCGGCATGGACCCAGGGGCGGACTGACAACTCATGGGGCCCCCGGGCAATAGGGGATCATGGTGCCCCTGTGTCCTTGTCCAAACTCAAAAAAGCCTATGAAAAAGGTACCAGGGGCATCTCATGGGGCCCCCTACTGACCCCGGGCCCTCGGGCAGAGTTTCTAAATGGTCAGTCCGCCCCTGCATGGACCTGATGAGATTCATCCATCTATGGGCAGGCATATTGTACCCAAGTCGATCCATTGATTGATTTAGGTACAACCAGCATGATAGATTTTTAGCATGCGGTTACTGCCAGTGGCTATAGCCGCTAGCAGAAATCATTGTATTCTGCTGGCCAGGAAGGCTCCCCGCTGGCAGTATACTATAGAGCTGCGGGAGACTTTACCCCATTAACACTGACTGTCCACCTGTGGTGAAAGGAAAGAAAATCGATGAATCCATGACTTGCCAAACTTGTCTATTGCTTCTCTTTTTGTACTGTTTGTCATGATTCTGAAAAATAAAAATATTGAACAAGAAAAATCAGAAGGCAGAATGGACAAATTCCCTTAAAAAAGCCTTTCCTGAAAGAAACACGAAGACTGCCTTTGCTAATATCTCTTTTTGCAAAAGCTGGTTGCCCCACCAACCCTATTGCTTCAGTTCCTGGCATTAGTAACCCAGAACAAGTATTCAGATAATGACTCCTGGTTTTCTCCGACTAACCTAATCATGTTTTTGATCAAGGTCAGTGACTTAAGCCAGCCAGACATGACTCCAAATTCGGCCAGTTCAGCCGCATTTTGATCCATGCATGGGCAGGCTGATTGCAGGCAAGTCAATCCATTTGCATGTGATTACTGCCAGTGGCTATAGCCTATAGCAGTAACCACTGAATTCTGCTGGCCAGGAAGGCTCCCTGCATGGCCCCCGCCCCTTTCCCTCTGGTAGAATACAATGGCGCTGTGGAAGCCATTCCTCCGTCAACATTGACAGTGTTGATGGGGGAATCAAGCAATTTTCTATCCTTCTACCCATGGCAGAAGGAAAGGAAAGAAAATCACATCATCTATGGGCTACCTTATAACATAAAAAACAGTGATTATTACAGCCAGGCAGATAGCATTTAGTAAAGGAAATCAGTCATGGCTGGTCCCATGTTTCTCTGGGGAAAGGATTTCAATAATAATCCTGTGCTTGTGAGTAATTTTGTATTTTTTTCAAAGTACACACCTTTAGTGTAAATTTTATATTGCCAGATTCTCTATTTATAATGTTCCTATTCATGAATTATGTAGTTGAATAGGCTGCTAAACATTGTTATGAATTGCTTCGATGAGATGATTACCTAATCTTTATTCATATGTAAAAGCACACAGCAGCATGGCTCAGCTGAAAGCACAATGGCTATGATATAAAATATGTCTGGGAAACATTGTGAGAAGGTCTATACAGTTCGAACTAGAACACACTCCTTCTTGGACAAAGAGATGTTTGCTTGGGTCATTGTTCTGTTTAAATAATATATTGATGTTTCAGCCTCCATGACTCATGTGCCAAGTTTCTGCTAGGGAGTGACCTACTCCATGTGGACAGTGTATTCATCTCTTCAGGCTGCAAGGGGATGCTAGGGATTTTTCAAACTATAGACTCAATTCAAAGCTTTAACAAAAAAGATAATCCTCGTTTGTGACCTGTAATTTTCTGATTTCATTGACCACGCCGCTTCCTCATGGTGTGTTACTGTAATTTAGGGGTTGATCTGATAAAACTGGAGAGTACAAAATCTGAGCTCACGCCTGAAAATAACTGTCATCTTCCAGGTTTTCTGGTGTCAAAATTAGCAGGTGAACGCTAATAAGCATATATATAAAAGCCGTTAGCACGTAAGATATAGGCAACAATCCCAACGAACATATTAATATAGAAGTGCAGCGCTGAAATCTCACAAAATATATATAAAGTGGAACAGTAAAGTGCAACATATATAAATAAATGGATAAATAGCCTTGCGTATGTAAAAATTCAAAAAAGCAACAATAAATAAAGTCTGCAAGTAGAAAGTGCTAGTCTGTGCAATAAAGTGAAAAATAGTGAATTAATAATGTCTGTGACTGCATATATCAAAATGATAAATATTATTCATCCAGCAAATGTTATTCATAAAAACGTTGATTATGTGCAAAATCGCCAAGTGCAGAGTATGAATGTCTGAATATTCACATAAGGAATCCACCACCTTGAACGGATGTACACTCACCAGAAGATATATAAGGCGTGTATCATAACATGTCACATCTAGAGGTGCAGCGGCAGCCAAGGGGTTAATCCTGCTGTATCATCCGGGTATAGATGGAAGGGAAGTCCCTTGTCCTAAAGAAATAGCTCAACAACAGGAGCCAAGAATACTAATATAGTGTAGTATTTTAGTAATCAAAGATGTCATTTCCATAAAATTCCACGTGGAGTATAATGCAAACAGATATTAAAATGGCCATCGCTCCTTCCTTCGGCAGCGGCGGCGTGACGTCAGCAATGTAGGCTCTACCCGGCGCGTTTCCACTTTATATATATTTTGTGTGATTTCAGCACTGCACTTCTATATTTATATTTTCCAGGTTTTTTTTGTCAAAGCTTAATTGAACAATTAAAGTTAGAAGCTGATTGGTTTCTATGCAGAGCTGCACCAGATTTTGCACTCTCCAGTTTTAGTACATCAACCCCGTAGTGTTTTTACATGATCTAGAGTCTATTCATTTCAATTGTAGCCACGTGCATAAAGGGTTTTATGTGTATGCTTGTACTTATACCTTGAGATTTCCTCTATTCTCCTTGATCATTTTGTCAGTTGCAAGAATGCCAAGTCACTATCCTTAAATGACTCCCATTTCCTACCAAGAAATTGTTTATGTTGATCCTAAATCGCTCATGAGTGTTTTATGTCATGAAGCTGAATCCTTTACCAGCAACTTTCAAGAATACACTGTTCTTGTCCTTACTTACAAGTATGCAGCAACAGGCGACAGAAGCAGACCTTGTGCTGGCATCTATGCTTAAACCCAAGAATTCCCCCCCCCCCCCCCCCCCCCATTTTTTTGTACACAGACCTTCCTTTATTAAATGTTTTTAAAGAATTAATATGACAAATACACTTTTTCTAGACTATCAGCCATGCTTTGGACTCTCTTTTTCTACAAACTTTGAGACCTCTCCCCATAAGTTGGGTCATAGCCCATTATGCACTTGGGAGCTGCATCAGAACTGCCAAAATATTCACCATCACTGGGATCCAGTGCTTCACCAATCCACTTCTTCATTATGATGATATGTTTTTCAGTTTTAGAAAATCATAGCTGGCTGCAGTTTGGAATTAGTGGGTGATTTAAATAATATTAAACCCCTAATTCACCTTAGTAGTAATTATCTGTTATTAATATGAGTTACCATTTAAGGAATTTAATACATTTGATGAAATAAGTAAAATATAAGGGTTTGTTAGAGATTCTGTATATAGCCCTACAGAACAGACAGTGCACAGTCCCCCGTGTTTTATCTGCTGCTTCTCTGCTAACAGGAAACAGTAACTTTATTATAGAGAAGAGACATAACATAACCATAAAAGCAAACACAAACTTATAAACACTGACATCTACTGTTCGAAATAAATATTATTACTGAATGCTGATGTAGTTGTTGCACAAAATACATGAACATTGTATTCCAACACCCCCACTCAACAACTATTCCTTATATTAGTCCCATTTTGGATTTCATTTCTATAAATCTCTTTCAGATTAAGTGATGTCATAAGCAGCTCTGATCCACTTTTGTTTCTCATGGGTTGGAATTCTTTCCATCTCATCCCATGAATTTGGCTCTGGTTTAATGCTACACGAGCAACATAGGTCAGACGTTTAACTGGAAGAACGGTCTGGATAAAAGCGCACAGATGTGTCCCAAAGGAAATAAGTGAATGGTATATGTCAACTATGATTGGTGGGGAAAAAAACTCACTGCTGCCATGGTAAAAACACATCGGTTTGTGGGAGGTATGAACAGGAGCCAGGCGCTGTGTAGTTTTGTGATAGAAATAATACACCTTGTAATGGAGGTGTGTCTTTAATAAGTCATATGGTAAAACAATAATAAATAACCAGCCTGTGGCTTTAGGAAGCCAGGTTCCAAGATGGACGGCCCGTCCGCTCAGAGGGAAGCAGTGGAGTAGAATGCCTGTCAGTGACCACGTTTACCCGACGTCCCAGCGTCCTGGATGACGTCACCATGATGTGGAGAGACAGAGGGGGGGAACTCTTGCTGGAGCCGCAGCTTTAGAAGAAGAGGCCGGTTGCTGGGACAACATGTTTCGCGCGCATGCGCTTTGTCAAGTCTGTGAAAAGTGCAATCGGCCATTTTATAGGAGACCTGCACGGCAGAAGGGGCCGGCTTAACAACCAAGGGGATTCAAGAGCAGACGGTCGTCTCACAAGAGGATCAGATTGCATTGAAATATGAAAACACATTATAAGGACAGGAACAAAGTGTGATTAAAACCTAAATATGACCATATTAAAAACCTTTTGGGCTTAATTGTGTCAAAATGGCATGTGCAAGATTATTTTTAGGCTCTTTATGAAGCTGAGTTCACATCTCAAAAACATTGCTGAACAAAACACAGGAATGGTGGGAAAGATTGTCAATAATCCTATTCATATCTATAATAGTGAATAGAAAATTAATTATATTGGTGCTATAAAAACAAACTTGCATAGGTATATATAATAAAACAATATAATGAAAAAATAAAATATACACAACAATACACACTACATACAACTGGTAATAAAACCTTATATCATAATTACTCTTGTCTCGATTGTCAGTAAGGGTTCCTTTGGGAATGTGTTTTATTTGTCATTTGAATGTGAACTCATCCAGCTGTAATGAAGCTTCATTAAGCAGCCCTCCCCCCCCCCCCCCCATTTTTTTTTTTTTTTTTTTCCCCTTGATAATCTCTGCACATCCATTTTGACACAATTAAGCCCAAAAGGTTTTTTAATATGGTCATATTTAGGTTTTAATCACACTTTGTTCTTGTCCTTATTGTGTTTTCATATTTCAATTGCATATGTGAGACGAGCTCGTCCTCTTGATTATTTGGCCGGCCCCCTTCTGCCGTGCAGGTCTCTATAAAATGGCTGGACTTTTCACAGACTTGACAAAGATGCGCGCGAAACATGTTGTCCCAGCAACCGGCCTCTTCCTGATGCGGCTCCAGCTTTTGTCTCTCCACATCGTGGTGACGTCATCCAGGACGCTGGGACGTGGGTAAACGTTCCCTTTGACAGGCATTCTACTCCACTGCTTCCCTCTGAGCGGACGGGCCGTCCATTTGGAACCTGGCTTCTGGCTTTATTTATTATTGTTTTACCATATGACTTATTAAAGACACACCTCCATACAAGGTGTATTATTTCTATCACAAAACTACACAGCGCCTTCCTGTTCAACAGACGTTTAAACTGGGATGCCTTTATTGCTTCTGGTGAATTTCCTGTTTGAAGTCTCTTGTGGCCTGGTTTAATCTCTTACAGTATTTGGATTGTCTGTGTTAATTTTTATTTCTGTGTCACTTTGTTGCTTATCTTCATGACGTAGAATTTCCCTCAGTTTGAAGTGTTTGTGTTAGTTCATTAAATTTTGAACACACTGAAGTTTCATCAACAATTACACTTCAACTGATGGTTACCTTGTTTGTGTCTTGGTGTATCCTTTTTGAGATTCACTGTATCTCACAAGTACACCTTCCTTTGCACTAGGATCCCATTTGGTACATTTTTCTTTTGGGATCTGCGCATACAGTAGGCTTTGCTTCCAAAATTTATAAATGGTTCAAATTCAGGGCCTTTCTATTCCACAGTTCATATGGAGTTTTCTCAGTTGATATTCTTGTTTGTCAATTTTGGAGAGAGTTGCCAGAAAGAAGCCTTAGTGCACCAATGCCACAAAAAAAAAAAATGCTCACAATATGCCCGAGAATACCTTGACATGCCTTGCCAGGCTTTTTTTTGTGGCTTTTCTGGTTTGTCAGATTTGCAAATGAAAGCTTTGTTGCAGCCATTTTCTTTTATTGTGTTTGCAGTCTTATTTCTTTTGCACTTATTTGCTGTAGTTGGCTGTGACTGGATGTCTGGGCCCATAACCTATTAGAGATTCTGTATATAGCCCAGCAGAGCAGACAGAGCACAGTCAACATGTGTTTATCCGCTTAAGAGTTTAACCATAGATTCAGCCACAGACTTACAAACATTACCATTTACTAGCTGAAGAATATATCTCTACTGAATACTGATGTACAGTAGTTGCTGCACAAAATACATGAACATTGTATTCCAACAGGGTTACATTTTGCAAAAAAAAAAAAAAGGTGTTTTTTTAATCGTGATAGAATTATGGCCACTTCCATTTTCATTTATCAGCTAGTTGCTAGTCTGTTTTGTTCATCCTCTAGCTTCAGTTCTTAGCAGGTCTCTGAACCAAACAGGTACAGGGGTCAAGTCTTATGCACTGGTAGTGCGCTTGTACCAGGTCAGAGGGGACTAACCATATGAGCCTCTCAAGAGGGGAACTACTTAGCCCAAACTTAGCATAAAGTCTTTGCAAAACAATAAAGGGGACTAGTCGATATTTACCTCTCAGGAGAGGAAGTACGTGGCCCAGCAATCCCAATAGTACACAGTCACCAGAATCTTGCAATACTCACGAGGCTAAGGGAGCAGCAGTGTCCTTCCAGCTTCCTCCAGGGGCCTTCCAGTGAGGCTATGCAGACTGGATCCTAGGGTAAAGTCTTGGGGTGTAAGAGAAACTTTTCAGTGTAGGCCCCTAGCTCATCCACAGCGGAGGACCTCGATGAACAACAACTTGAAACAGCAGAATGTCTTGGAGTAGGGGGTAGCCACCCCCAACCTAAACAGGTATAATCCCTTCAACAGGAAGAACCCGCTGTTCTCAAGCTCAGACTATTTATGTGCTCCTCAGCTACCTTCTGGGCACAGCCCACCAGGGATTGACTGAAGCACAATAAATATTCATCCTGCCTATTTCCCTTGCTCCAATCCTATTTTTCAGAACTTTCTAAAAGGCAGGGAAGAGCAATCAAACTTGCAGCCTGTGAAATCCAGGATAGCCAAAGAAATCAAATACTCCAATGATTACAGGGGAGCCAAAAAGAATTACATTTACCTAAATAGGAGGGTGCAGCATCTGTAACTCACTAGGAGGGAATATGTTACTGGCAAAAAGGTGCTTGGACATGCAGCAGTTCAAATATTAATTGAGGTGACATTGCATTACAATAAGTGCTTTAACTTTTTTTCACATATACTGTATATCTCGGCTGCAGCTGTCAATCACTGGGTCCCAGCCGGTGATGACTCGCCAGCGCCCGAAGCAGTGTGCTTACAGTAAAGCACAAACACAGAACATCATGTAAAACAGCACACAGTTAACCCTTTGATCAGCCCAGATTTTCACCCCTTCATGCCTAGTGCCATTAGTACAGTGTCAGTGCTTTTTATTAACACTGATCACTGTATTGGTGTCACTGGAGATGTCAGTTCCCCCCAGTGTCAGCCTGCCCGCCACAGTCCCACAGTCCCGCTATAAGTCGCTGATCGTCGCCATTGCTAGTAAAACTAAAAAAATCCCAGTATATATACCGCCATTTGTAAACGCTATAACTTTGACGTAAACCAATTAATTTACACGGGATTATTGGGATTTTTTTAGCAAAGACATGTAGCAGAATACATTTTGGCCTAGAGCACATTTTTGAGCACAGCAACACTGTATTGGAAGTTATATTTGGCACGCAGCACTTTTTTCTTTACAATTGGATTTGGGGACTTTTTATTGTATTTATTTAATTTACATGCAATACGTAATTAATTTGTATTACGTTTGTTGATAAATTTTACATGTATATGAATTATGTTTGTTGATACACTGATTGATATATATATATATATATATATTATTTATATATATATATATATATATATACAGTTCGGGGATTGAAAGTTTGGGCACCCCAGCTAAAAATTTGTATTAACGTGCATAAAGTGAAGCCAAAAAAAAGAAGATGGAAAAATCTCCAAAAGTCAAATTTACAGATTAGACATTCTTATAATATGTCAACAAAAGTTAGATTTTATTTCCATCATTTACACTTTCAAAATAACAGAAAACAAAAAAAATGGCGTCTGCAAACAGTTTGGGCACCCTGCAGAGTTAATATCTTGTATTTGGCAAGTATTACAGCTTGTAAACGCTTTTTTTGTAGCCAGCCAAGAGTCTTTCAATTCCTGTTTGAGGTATTCTTTGCACCATTCTTCCTTACAAAAGTCGTTCCAGTTCTTTGAGATTTCTGGGCTGTCTGTCACGCACTGCTCTTTTAAGGTCTATCCATAGATTTTCAATTATGTGGAGGTCAGGAGATTGTTGAAGGCCATGGCAAAACCTTCAGTTTATGAATCTTGGATGTAATCCCCCGTGGATTTCGAGGTGTGTTTAGGATCATTATCCATTTGTAGAAGCCATCCTCTCTTTAACTTCAGCTTTTTCACAGATGGCAATCAAGTTTACCATCCGCAAAATTTGCTGAAATTTTTATTGGAAATCCATTTTTCCTTCTGCTCGTGAGATGTTCCCTGTGCCACTGGCTGCCAACACAAACCCCAAAGCATGATAGATCCAACCCCTATGCTTAACAGTTGGACAGAGGTTCTTTTCATTAAAATTCTGTGCCCCTTCTTCTCCAAACGTACCTTTGCTCATTCCGGCCAAAAAGTTCAATTTGGCACCTCATCGGTCCACAGAACTTGTTTCCAAAATGCATCAGGGTCTTATATTTTTCATTTGCAAAGTTCAAACGATGATTTTTGTGGTGAGGACGTAGAAGAGGTTTCTTTTGATGACTCTTCCATGGAAGACCATATTTGTACAAGTATCTTTTATAGTGGAATAGTGTACCACAACTCCAGTGTCTGCCAGATCTTTCTGGAGGGATCGTGCAGTCAAACGTGGGTTTTGAATTGTTTTTTCACAACCTGCGAACTGTTCTGTCTGATATTTTTCTTGGTCTTCCAGATCTTGCTTTAACTTCCACTGTTCCTATGACTGCCATTTCTTATTACATTCCGAATACAGAGGATATTGACATCTGAAAACGCTTTGCTATCTTCTTATAGCCTTCTCCAGCTTTGTGAGCGTCAAACTATTTTCAGTTTCAGTTTTCTAGACAACTGCTTAGAAGAACCCATGGTGCTGATTGTTGGGGCAAGGTCAGATGAGTGGGCATTTAAAATCCTTTGAGATTGACATCATCTGGTCTTCCCAGACGATGATTGATCCATGACACTGGTGGTCTCAGCTTTGCAAAGGGGGCAGTGCATGCTATAAATTCTGCAGGGTGCCAAACTTTTGCAGATGCATTTTTTTGTTTTCTTTATTTTGAAAGTGTAAAATGATGAAATAAAATCTAACTTTTGTTGTGACATATTATAAGAATAATCTAATCTGTAATTTGATGCCTTTTGGAGATATTTTTTCCATCTTTCCTTGGCTTCTTTTATGCACATTAATACAAATTTTTAGCTGGGTGCCCAAAACTTTCGATCCCCACTGTATATATATACTATATATATATATAATATATATATATACACACACACACACAACACTGTGAAGGAAACAAGTGTTTGATCCCCTGCTGATTTTGAATGTTTGCCCACTCACAGAGGGAGAAATGATCAGTCTAAAAATCGAATGGTTGGTGTATTGTAACGCTGAGAGACAGAATAGCAACAAAAATGTTCAAATGAAATGCATGTCTAACAAGTTCTGCACTGATTTGCATGTTCTTGGGGGAAAACAGGGGCGGACTGACAACTCATGGGGCCCCAGGCAACAGGGGATCATGGGGGCCCTGTGTCCTTGCCTAAACTCTAAAAAAAAAAAGCCTATGAAAAAAGTACCAGAGACATCTCATGGGGCCCCCTACTGACCCCGGGCCCTCAGGCAGTGCTCAAGTTTCCAAATGGTCAGTCTGCCCCTGGGGGGAAAGAAGTATCTGATCACCTATCATTCAACAGGATTTCTGGCTACCAGGTGTCTTTCATACAGGTAACACGCTGAGATTAGAAGCAGTATCTTAAAGGGAGTGCTGCTAATCTCATTTTGTTACCTGTATAAAAGACACCTGTCCACAGGAGCAATCAAACAATCAGATTCCAAAACTCTCCACCATGGCAAAGACCAAAGAGCTGTCCAAGGATGTCAGGGACAATATTGTAGACCTGCACAAGGCTGGACTGGGCTACAAAACTATCGCCAAGCAGCTTGGTGAGA